TTATATTTTATATTTTTTGAAATATTTAGCTATTTACATATATGTTAAATATTTCTTATTATAATATTTTTGTATTCTAATATTTTTTAGATTAATTAGAAGAATCAATTTGCGTTAAAAAAGGTACGTGATTAAATGCTTAAAAAAATTATCAATTTCGCTGATGAACATTTTTCGATGAACATTTTTAAATATGAAAATTCCATATAGTATATTTGCAGCAAAAAAAACGGTTTTAAAAAGTTGTTTTAAAATAAGATAAAAGAACTGGATATGGATCATTTATTGTATATATTACGTAATTTTGCTTTTTTCTTAAATAATCCGAAATATAATTACGAAATTTTTGATTCCTTATTTAATTTTTAGTAATTTTAGTAATTTGTTACTTAGACACGGTTTTTACTGTGCGTATTTATATAAAAATATATAAAAGTAAAGTCTTTTTGTAAATAGTGTGATTAATGTTATTAAGTTAAAACATAATATGATCAATTATACTATGTTTATATTATATATACAAAAAAATTATATTTATATAATTTTTTATATCATTTTTCTATAAATATTTTTTTGATTCTTGATTTTTCTGTGTTGATATAGAATATAAAAATGCATAATTCCTATTTACTTAAAAGGTTTATTAAAAGTTTTATTAAATGATATTTTATAAAAATGCTAAATTATAAAAAAAATATAAATATTATATAAATAATTTATTTATGAACATAATTGTCCCTTAAGAAAATAATATAAAAAAATATAATAAAATAATATTTTGTTACAATATATAAATGTAGGATAATCACTATATTTTTTAACATTTTTTATGTAATTAATTTTGATATAAAAATGAGATTGACATATACAAAGATCTAGATAATTAACTAATTTAGAATTAATTGCATATAAGGAATATTACTACATGTACATATGTAACATTTTATTTTGTTTTTTCTTATATGGATTATGTCATTTTATATCACACTGTTAATATTTTTAATATACATATGCATAACACAGATTTCAAGTTTGCAAAAGTAATAACTAAAATTATGTTAGCATCTACAATTTTTATGCGTATTCCTACCTTCTTGCTCTGTAACAATAATATACATAACTCAAAAAAATCTAGTTACAACTTCATATGACATCTTCACGTCGCTCGAATCCGTCAGGTGGCACATTAGCAGATTTCGTCATCATCGTCATCACCGCAAGAATATCTTTGCGTTAATTATCATGGTCGTTAGCAGCGTGTCAATTGGTCACTCGCGTACATTTCTGCGCTGTGATTTCTCAATATTGTATATCCTATTAGTTTCTCCTGGTTTGTCGTCCTATTGGTGTCTGCGCGGACTTACACTTTCTCGTGGCATCAAGAGCACTTTCCCGATATTTATGATCATCTTACGCACTCGAGTCATCATCATCTCTCTCAATTATACTCTACATGCGATAATGCATATCCGATACCGTCGATAATGCATATCGAGCTTCTAAAATAAATTTCGTCAAAGGTGCACACGAATTGTTAAGATGATATGATAAAACCGGCAAAATGGTCGTAAGCGAAATGAGACTAGCACTGGTAAGAACAAGACTGCGGCGTGCTGGTGAATGTGAAGGCAGAGTGAAAACCAGTTGGGCCTCTAGTAGTAGTATATATCCTTTCAATGCCAACGTCGTATGAATATTTATTCACTCCGTAAAGTTCGTTGCTCCAAATCTGTTTCTTTAAGACCGCAAACTATTCTTTACTATTTATTTATTTAATCATTATTTAGTGCGTTTTTTTTTCGACTTTGTTTTCAAGGTATGTAGTTATTTTTTATAGAATATTATAATCATTTTTTATACACAATTTATTTTGTGTACAAAGAAGGTAATATTTATCATTAACAATATTGGATTTTTTTTCTTTAGCATTTATTTATTAAATTAGTTTTTAATGGTTTTTTTAAATATGTAGTTATTTTATTTTATGTACATTTTATATACATAAAATTTTATTTTAATAAGCAAAGAGGAGATGATACTATACAATTGAAAAAGATATGTATATATTTTTATAATCTATAAACATTTAATAGTATAATAAAATAAAAGTTTTTTTTAAATAGATGCACTTTTTTGTATTAAACAAATATATATTTTTTGCATTCCTTAATAAGAAAGAAAGAAAAGAGAAAAAAGCGTGGAAAATTTTACATTTTATATTGTTTAAAATTTTATTTATTTATTAAATCATTCTTTAGTGTTTTTTGTGTTAGTTTTAAATATATGTAGTTATTTTATTTTATATAGAATATAATTTTTCTATACAAAATTATATTTTATAGGTAAATGAAAGAATGTAATATTATAATTGACAATATATATTTCTTCTTTAGTATTTATTTATTAAATTAATCTTTAGTTTTTTAGTAATCTTTAGTAATCTTTGTTATTTTTAAAGATATGTAATTTTTTTATTTTGTATGATATATTAGAATAAATTTTTTTATACAAAAATTTTATTTTAGTAAAATATTTTAATAAAGAGAAGATAATATGTAATTGTAAATATATATTTTTATATCTATAAACACATGTAATAGTATAATAAAATAAAAGTTTTTTATGGGTGCATTTTTTTGTTATTAGACAAATTTTATATTTTTTTAAATTTTGCTTAATTTACTAATTTAAAATATTTACTAATTTCAAATTATTATCAAATAATGTACTTTATTTAAAATATCAATAGCATGAAATCTCTCAGAATCTCATGTTGTTGATAAAATCTTATATAAAGCGAACAGGTGTGTGATAATAAGACATTTATTTTCCAAATAGACGTGTTCCTGCTTGCTGGTGGCGAGTATAGTATAATTAAATATCAAACGTTATTTTGTATGAGAAAATAAAGTGTAAGTAAGAGCTCCGACATTATTGATATGTGATTTTGCAATGAATAAAGATTAATGAATAAAGAGATCTAGAGATCTAGAGATCTATCGCACGCAACGCATCATTTTTTCTTTCTTTCTCGTGAATCACGCTGAAAGACTCTTTCCTTTTTATGTGTGATAACGTGTCAACGTCTTTCTCTTTGCTTTCATGGGCACACATAAGCAGAAAGCTACACATATACGCGAGTTATTCGCGCACTTTCTCTCTTCTACGATGTTTGCCTACTCAACAAGCGGCCCGCATCATTGTATAAAGAAATGTTGCTTTAATGTACGTTTTACTACTTCACTCTTAATTATTTATCTTACAAAAACGCTGATAGATCAGAAAATTGCGATAAATTACGAGAATAAATATTATGCACATTATAAAATCTAATTATTTCATTATTATGTCTTAAAAGTATTGAAATGTATGTGTTATTAGGTATTAAAAGTATCACAATTTTGATATTTTTATTTATAAAATGTAATTGTATATTTTAATTGAATATTTATGTATTATATATATTTTAATATAATTATATGAAAAAAATTAATATATTATATTAATTTATAATAAATTAATATAATTAATATAATTAATATTTAGAACAGAATATCTTTTGCAGATTTTTTATGCAATTTCTACAAATATAAAATGTAGTAAAATAAAATATAAATACATATATTTAAAGTAAATTGAAAAGTAAGTCACATATTGATCACACATATACATACATATGTATTATGTAATACGTAGACATACAAAAATACAAATTGGTGTCAGACGCATTGTGATTTGAACTGTGTAGGTATAGAGATATAACAATTAAAATACTTTCTTACTTTAATACTTTCCCTTTTTTCATTTAGCTTAGGGAATTGGTTAGTATAGATATCAATTTGAATCAATAGTACAAATCCCTATCTATTATTATCAAAAAATTCATATTTTTTGCCGAAATCTAAACATTTTTTAATTTGACATATCCATTTTTACTATTTATCAGTTTTGACATTAGATTTAAATATATATATATTATATATATTGAATAATCATGAAAATATCTCTATATATAATTTTGAACAAAAATCAGAACACATTGTTTTTTAATCTTAAATATCTGCTATATATTAATTCCGCTATTGTGAATTTATCAATTATGACATTGGCTTTATATTTCTAAAATGACAAAAAACTTGAAAACTGGGTAGATACATAATGGATCTTCAATAATTTAGTTCAGAACTTTTCAGCAATAGATTTTATATTTGATTATAAATATCATATAAATTATATAAATATAAATATTAATCATAATTTAATTATGAATATCATATTAATCATAGTCGACATATTTCTTTTAAAAAATATGAACCGGAGGTTCTAACAATTAACTTTTGGCTGCAATAAAACTTCTTGAATACGTAACATATTACAGCTAATTTTATATGTTGAGAGATTTTTGTATATACACAAACTCATAGACTTATATAATAGACTGAGTATTCTCTTGCTGACGACAAGAGCGACACCTGTTTACCCATATTGGAATTATACACAATTCCGATTGTTATAATTCTCCACTATTCATACGTTGCAATTGATGACATTGTGATTACCCATGTATTGCAAATGACCATTTTGCGATTACTCACGCGTTGCGATTGATCACGTCGCGATCGCCGTCATTGATATTGATTTTATCTCGAAAATTTATTTAGAACTGTAGAAGGTTGTAAATCTCATTTTGCATCGAAAGTACTGGTAATAAAGATATACCTCGCTTTGCACAAAAAGTTATAAACCGGAATTATGTTATAAAGAATGTAGACAAGTGCTCATAGGCTGTTGCCTAAAATTCCCAAGTTGAAACTTCGGGACTTTAGTTTAAAATAAAACTCCAGTTTCAGTTAATTAAAAAAATCGTGGTACTATATTAATCAAATTATATACAATTAATCAAAGAGGATTTCTTTTGAACGTCAAAATGGATAATAAATCGTAACTACATTTTTTCATTAATTGCAGTGGAACGTAGTGTAATTAAAATTTTTATTTGATATATATGGTACAAAAATATAAAAGTTGCAATGATCATCTCTTGCACTATTTTTGTTAAAGGAAAGTGATTTTCAATTGATCAAAGAATTTATCATTGAAATGACATTTCAAATACGGTTTTTTCGGAACCTTTCATATATTATTGCATAATGTATTGCGTGTTATATTGGAAATTTCTGTGGCCAAACAGTGTTAATCATATCGGCTGTTTTCTCTGCCACCATCATTATAGCTGCGATAGGGTTCGAGTTTGGTACAATGGGGAAGATAGAAGCATCGGCGACGCGAATATTCGGTATACCGTGTACTCGAAGTTCCGAATCCACTACCGCAGTTGGATCGGTACTCGGTCCCATCTTGCATGTTCCAGCTTGATGATTTTCTGGTCCAGTTTCCGCGCGTATCTGACACATCCAGAAGGCGTCCGAGCCGAAGTGATAGCTAAAAAATTACAAATCCAAATAAATTGTGCCAAGCACTACAAATTATTAGGAAAAAAGCTATAAATTCAAAAAGAGTTATTACTACCAACTAAGTTGGTGGGTGGATAATAGAAATCGAGCAAGATCTACACTTCCTAGTTATTTAAATGGATTAGTGATGTAAAGTATTTAAAAATTTTATAAATATTTGATTTGACAGTTTCTTCGCTTATTTTTATATGGCATACTTTCTCGCATTTCATTTCCAGTTTCATTTTAAATGGACATAAAATAGATATATTACTACACCTTTGAGCCCATATTAACAAGCCGCACCTTGTAGATTTTATATCCATGCCAAATGAAATTTGAATGAGAGAAAGTATGTCACACAAAGCGAAAGGACTATCGAATCTAATATTAAATTCAATTTTTGCCAATCTCTGTTGTTATATTAGCAGCAGATTACAAACCTAATATGAAAAAAGTTGATATCAAAGTTTACTAATAATTTATGAATAAATTTTGCTTAATAATGGATAATAATAGAAAATACTTACTTGCTGCATAATGAACTTTTCTCTTGTTCTAAACGAAGATCCCATTTTTTCATAGTGGGCGTATCAACAAGCCTGCTGACCTGTTTGATACCATCAAGCAGGATCATCAAGTCTTTCTCATTTGTGAAATAATCTGGATAAAGTAGCGGTGGATCTAAAGGATTATTCGATCGGAGTTTCATGTTGCCTAGACTTTCCGCGCAAACCACTGTAGGTCTTGCAATAATCTCTCTTCTATCCGTACAATAGCCGATCCTACCATCGAAGCATTCATTCGACAAACCAGTCTTCGGACAGACGGAACTGAAGCCGTCAAAGAAGACTTGAATGTCCGGTAGACCTTTGATCGTATAATTGCTTTCCAAGAATGCGGTAATTTGAGTAACCCCAGTACTGGCCAGCGGGCCGGTTTTGTCCTTCAGAAATTCATTCACGGCTTCCATAGTCATGACCTCGTACGGAATATTTTTGATGCTCATGTGAACTGCTACGGAGACGTGATTGTGCAAATTTTTCCCGACTGGCAGATCTTTGTAGACCTTAATGCCGAGTTTGGTCAGGTCTTCTTCGGGTCCTACGCCAGAATTCATCAGGATTTGCGGTGAGCCTATAGCACCAGCAGTCAAAATCACCTCCTTGCCACATTTCACGACTCTCGTCTGGCCGTTCTTATCTATCATCTCCACGCCAATAGCTTTTCGTTCCCACGGACTGATCAAAATCCTGGTAACGTGTGCATTTGTCAAGACCTGCAGATTTCTGCGATTGTGGACAGGTCTTAAGTATGCCTTCGAAGTCGTGAGACGCATACCGTTCTCGATTGTCATCGGCGCGATCATAAAGCCAGTTTGCTTGTATTCCTTTAATTGGGAGGTCCTGTAACCCAGCTCGCCGGCAGCTGTCAGCAGCGCGTCCGCAAATTCCGGTTTATAGGGATAATACTGAATATTAATTGGGCCACCTTCCTTCTGACTCCTGGATTTGTCCGACAGAATTAGCGGATCGACCGGATTCTCCGCCCGTTCGAAGTAACGAGTGACTTCGTCGTAGGACCAGCCAGGATTTCCTGCCTTCGCCCAACGATTGTAAAAATCAGGATGACCACGAACATACATCATACCGTGCATACCGCCAGTTCCAGCAATCATTTTTCCCCTTGGCCAAGTGCAAACGCCGTCTGTTTCTAAAAAAATGGCAATATTGATCTAAGTCCTATTTATAATTAAATTTTATTATAGATGTCCCTTGTAAGATTTAAATCATTTGGTTAATAATTATCTAACGTTATATAAAAATGGCACGCAAAAATTTTTTTGACGTGGGTTTTCTTGTCTCTGACGTCAATTTCAATATGGTCGGCGAAGAGCCAAGGATGCTGCTAGCTCTGTTTTATTGACCGAGCAATTTTTTTTTTTTTAGATAATGTTATCTTTTTGTTGGCATTTACAAAATAAGACCAGCACGAACTTGGATTAAAAGAAGGAATATAAGGGAATGTTTAGATATCAATTTGAAAGCCTAATAAAGAGAATAGCTTGTCTAAAATTTTTCGTGCATATGTATGCACATACGTACTTTTTTATTAGGCTTCCATATTAATATTTAAATATTCACTTATATTCCTTTATTCAATTTGTTCGTGCTGGTCTTACAATTAACTGCCAACAAAAATAATTGCTCGGTCGATAAAACAGAGCTGGCAGCGTCTCCTTAAGTTTATGCGAAAACTAGATCAAACTATGTAAGATGATATATATTTTATACTCAAACAGGCAGTAGGATGCGGTGATGTTGGTTCCGTCTTGAAGTTCCAATCGAGAGACGTATTGACAGCATTAAATGCAAGTCCTGGTATTGCCGTCATGGTAGGTTCTTCCGGACCAGCTTCGATGAGCAAAATCTTTCGCCACGGATTATCACTTAATCTTCTCGCGATTATGGGCCCTGCCACACCTGCGCCGATGATTACAAAATCGAACCTATAATTAGAAAAACATTATAATAACGCCAGTTCAAAATGTGATGCTTCTCTTGTGTAAAGATGTTTGCTTCGAAGGGTTCAATGAACTAATCAGGAATGAAGAATCTTGCGTTTCGAAACAAATAGATTTAAATATAAAAAAATAATATTATATAATAATAATAATAAAATTTATAAAATTATAATAATAAAATAATAAAATTATAATAATAAAATAATATCATATAAAAATAATATTATATTATTTAAAAAATTATATTTTTTGAGAGATCCTGTAGATTTTATACCATTCATTTTCCTTCGGTGCTTCGTCGCTGCCCAATCTTTGGCAAGGTTCAGCGACGTCGCATCTGGAGGACATCACATTTTGAACCAGGGCCATAAAAGTACTGCTGCCTCCACAAGCACGGCTCATGTATTGAATATCCTCAAACTTGCAGGAGCAACATCCGTCGCTGTTGCCAGTACTTGGCGTTGTTACTTGACTTGGTGGGAAGAAGAATCGCTTTGAGCGGGCATAAACAAAAGGTTTATTATTCAAAGGAAAAATTTACAATTTTATCTAGCAATAAGTAAATGTTATCTGCCCCCAAAACTTATGTGCTGTCGCTTTTCTGAAATGTGAAATAAATGCTCACCGAGGCTAAAGCTTGTAGACCCGTGGTTAGGAAAATATACATTTTGAGTAAAATAATTGAAGCTATTTTGTGATCGCGCGTACTCTTAAAGTGTATGAAAAAAATATTTCTCCACAGATTTCAATGCATTTATACAGATTTAACCTTGGCCCATACGATAACACCCGCATTTTTATATTGTATTATCCGAATTATTGTGAAATATATTTTTCGTAAGAGTTGCACTACCTGCAACTGCTAAAAATAAAACTAGTTAAAAATTCAATGTCGAATCACGGAAAAATATAACACATGCAAATGAATGCACTCAAACGATAACGATATGAATCATTAACGGTCAAGGTCATATAATGAATTTTTATAGAAATATCTCTTTCAAAAATAATTATCTGAACATTTTAAACTTGTGAATTTAATACTCTTATTTTAATTATTGATTTCTTTAATACGTAAGCTATAAATATAAAAATATAATTTATTTATGAATTAAATATTAATTATAAGTAATTATTAATATATTAATTTTATATACATATAAGTAATTAAGAAATATTTAATTAAAACCTAATTATATGCATTTTATACTTTAATAACTACAATCCTTGTATCAAGAAATGCTACAACAAATGCTGCAAAAATTAACAAAAATAGAATTTGAATATTGTTTATATAATATGTTAACTACATCAAACTAAGCATATTATGACGTCAAGCTATTGTCAGAAATCAAGCTTATCTGAAAGTAAGATGTGATGATTGTACTGTCGAATAGATATATTTTAAAATAAGAAATAAAGGAGCTCATTAAAACATAATATAATTTCGTATTTATAAATGAATTTAATTTTTGATTAGAACAATATTATTTTATTTACCTGATGTGCTTTGATAGAAGTAGCATAATGCGCGAGGGCCAGCAAGAAGCACCATTTTCGCATATCTACATTTAAAAATCAGTGTATCACATCAAATAAAATATAATTAATTAATTAAAATTAATTAAAAAATTTATATAATATATTTATAATGGAACATTAATTTATTTTATTGACAATATCATAATTTTTTAAATCAAGTAAAAGCGTTTTAGATTGCAATTATTTGCTCAGCACTTATCACGTGCAACAAGAAACAGATAACTACGATATGCACTAGTCGAGAAAATCACGTGTGGTCTAAGAACATATCTCATTTCGTCGACGAACAGAACACATGGTGTGATGTCATCGTATGACTTTAGAGTAGGATTCATATCGTATAAATTAATATTATTTCCTAATTTTAGATTATTAGCATTTGTTAGAACATAGAAGGAAATAATTATATCAGAAAATTAATTATAATTGTCAAAATATAGGAATATTCACAAAATATTTTTTAGTCTCATAATTTATTTACCGAGTCTCTTAAAATAATAATAATCTTGCCAAATAAATTGATGAAAAAGAGTATCTTTACGTATATGTATAAATTCTAACATTCTTAATGCCATATATATATATATAGAGAGAGAGAGAATTTAAATTCTAAATCTTTATATTCACGATAGAAAATTTCTCATAAGAAAAATTAACATTTACAAGGAACTTGGAGTATATAAAATACGAATAGTATTTTTATTTGCTACATACGTTATATTTTATGTAATTTTTTCTGTAAATCTTACCGAATGATAAGCCTTCCGGTTAGTATTGTGAGAACTCCACTGACTTTAGTCAGAGTTACCCCGTTGGCGGGTGTACAATTTAAACTGGTTTGTGAGAGAAAATAAACCTCTGTAGCGCGATTTATATTTTGGATATATATATATATGAAGAGGGGCGCTCCCCCATTGCGTATGAAAGAAGACACAGCTTAATTCGACAAAAAAATATCGCCCACTTGTGCATATATGAATTATTATATTTTGATCGAGAGAATAAATACACACATACATATATACAAAAGTGTACTGACGTAATATATATTATATACGTATAATTATGTATATTTAATATACACACATATAATTTTGTATATAATGTATATTGATAGATTGAATTTATATATGTACATTTATAAATTCAGAAAAATGATAAAATACTATAGAAAAATACGATATAACATTAATAACTCTATTTAAGGTATTTAAAAAATAAAGAGAGAAGGACACTTTTTTTATAATAATATTTGGAAAATTATTATAATATAATTTTATTATATAAATAAAATTTATAATTTATAAATTAATGATTTTATTTATTATTTCAAAATTTATTTTTTTTAATTTATAATTTTATAACATTATAAAATAATTTATTTAAGTATCCTACATCAATATAGAATGTTTCTAATTTTTTTGCATTTTTTAATGCAAGAAAATATTGTTATTAATATATTATATTAATACAAAAACACTTAAAATTTATTTTTTATGATATGCGCACATATCTAAATTTTTAAATTTTTCTTCAGTTCAAGTATGCATTTTTCTTATATATTTTTGTAAATATATGTAATATAAATAAATAATAATATAATAATAAAAAAATAATAAATATAATAATAATAAATAAGTATACTTCGTACTATTAATTATTAAAAATCAATGTTATTTTAGCCTTTTATATTGTTGTGTTAAAATATTTTTTTATTATATTTTCGAATATTCATAATTCTATTGTACTTAATACAGAATATTGTCTCTTGCTCCGAAATCTGCAATTAAATTATTAAATTGAAGATGTATTCTGGCACGTATATTAATCGTAATCGCAAATTCATACGTGTCGTATATCATATTTTGATTTATGTACATTCCATGTGCACAGCCTTATTTCATCAACAATGTGGCAGTAGATTGTCAAATCGATAAAAGTGTGTAAATAATATGAACTGACAATTAAAAGACCCGTGCAATTTAATAGAGCAATACAATTTACGATTAACACACACACACACATTTGATTGCAATTTACCCTAATATTTTTAAAATATCAAAAAATCAAGAATATATCAATCTTAAAATATTTTTCAGTGATATACTGTATTTCATAAAATGTTTAGAAGTAATTGTGATTAAAATACAGATATAATATTGTTTGGATTATATTCTCCATATCATAAAAATGTATATTTCTTAAATGTTATAATCATTACCTTCGTATTATTTTATCTCATATACATATGTGTCGTATCATTATCAAGCGCTAATTTTTTAATGACATTTTGATGAATTCTGGATTTATCGTCAAATAAAAAATTATTTGCGCCAGACATTAATTAATATTCTATTTGTATAAATGTGTATATATATATATATATATATATATATATATATATATATATATATATGTATGTATGTATGTATGTATGTATGTATGTGTGTGTATATGATTACGCATATCAGACATCCAATGATGCGAATGTTTAAATAAATATTTGCAACGATTATATGTTTGATGAAACGCAAATAGATAAACTTATCGTATATCAATAATAACCTTTAAATTATAATTAAATGATAAATGATAAAAATTTGTATAATGATAGCGAAGATAATAATAATAAGCAAAACGAGAGATTTAATATATTAAATATGTAAAAATTTAAATAGGAAGTGGGCTAATAGAGAGCCGAGCGCAGAAAGTAGGCGCAACTAAATTATGTAGAAATCTTCTTTAATTATAATGAACATTTTGTTCCTTTCCTTGAATTAGTCTCAACAATCTAAAGATAAAGAACAAATTCATTTGTCTTGACCTTCAGTTCCCATCATCATCTGCTTTCATCTTTGACAATGATAAGTCTCATGCACATATGCACAAAATGTCAAATAAAAATAATGTAAAAATAATATAAAATAAATTTTTAATCACATAAGGATTGTTATATATTTTTGTAACATTATATTGATACAGTGTCTTAAAATCTATTGATTATAATAATAAAGATCATATATACATATGTGGAAGGGAAAATATTTTATCTTTAATATTTTAATGCTTTTACAATAATATGTAGCTATAAATAAATATAAAATTTTATACCTATATGGGATATCATCAACTCTATGTTGATATACTATATATTTAATTATTTAAACATTAATGTTCAATTGTTTAAGTCAAAGACATTGAATGTATTAAATAAATGTTAAAAAGTTCAATATTATATATAAAATAAAATATGTATAATAAAAATATGAATATGAATAAAAAAAATAAAAAATGAAAAAACAAATGTTTTCCTTATAATACAAAAATTTCTTACCTTCGTGTTTCAGGAGGATGCTGCGGTTCGATGAGGAAAAGGACTATCGTCGGCGGGTACGCGTTCACTTGGTGGTTCGTCACCGATGTGCAGCGACTGTCCCTGGAGGTGATGACCCTAAATCCGGTGTGCGAGAGCGTGGAAACGGCCCAGGGTGTACCTCTGACCGTCACCGGGTGGCACAGTGCAAAATCATGAAGGCCGACGAATTGTTGCACACTGCCAGCGAACAGTTTCTCGGAAAGAGCGTCCACGAGATCAAATCCACCATTTTGTCCACCTTGGAGGGTCATCTGCGAGCTATACTAGGTATACATTCGATCAACATTCAACTTTAGATGATTCCCAATAGCACCAAAAAATCGGAACATAAGATATCTTTAAGTCTTTTTAGATATCATATAAAATGTTTTAAAGATTTTTTTAAAGTTTCTTAAGGATATCCCAATTTTGAACATGATGCTGTCTGGGTTATGCATATGAGATGATAAATACATAGTATATATATATATATATATATATATATATATATATATATTATGAGAACCTTTTTTGAATAAAGACAAATTATTTGAGGATCCTGGAACCTTAGAATCTTCCTTTCAGTAGGCAACAATTCTACAACTAACCATTCAACATCCATATCACCTTGTTTTTTTGCTTAAAATATAATTTATTTTTTTCTCTTGACATTTTATTCTGATGATGAAATTCGCGATTTAACTAGGATTAACTATATTAGGTATATTTGATCAACATTCAACTTTAGATGATTCTCAGACAGCACAGCAAAATCGAAACATGTCCAAAATCAGAACATAAGACATCTTTAACATGTCTTTTAGGTATCATGTCATATAAGATGTCCTAAAGAGTTTTAAGGATTTTTTGAAAATGTCTTAAGGATGTCCCAATTTTGAACATGATGCTGTCTGGATTATGCATGACATGATATACATATATATTTTATGGGAACCTTTTTTGAACAAAGAAAAATTATTTAGGGATCCTGGAACTTTAGAATCTCCCTTTCAGTAGGCAACAACTGTACAACTGAATCATTCAACTCCCATATCACCTTGTTTTCTCTGCTCATAAATAATTTATTTTTTTTTCACTTGACATTTTATTCTGATGATGATGATGAAATTTGCGATTTAACCAAGACTAACTAATACATTATGATAATCGAAAAGAATGCAAAAACCTATATATCGTGTTGTATTTCTAAAAATAATTAATTTATTCGTTAATCTGGATCCTCGCCGCGGCTATATTAGATTGTGAGAGGCGAGAAATGACTGGGCCTCATATATTAGTCATTTTACAGCTGTTGATTATAAAGGAAAAAGAATAGTTTTGGAGATATTTTAAGAGTGTGCTAAAACCATCTGAAGTACTGTTTCATCGAAATATCTTCTTATTTCGAAATGGCATCTAAAAACTTTTAGCGTGTTTTCTCGCCTCTGACGTCACAATTCCAACCTGGTCAGCGAGGAGCCAGGAGCCTTAAAGGCTATTATTCTAATGAGTTTTATTTTTATTTCTCAGGAACGCTCTCGGTGGAGGAAGTCTACAAGGATCGAGATCAATTCGCAGCTCTTGTACGGGAAGTTGCCGCCCCGGATGTTGGCCGGATGGGTATCGAGATCCTTTCATTCACTATAAGGACGTTTACGATGATGTCCAGTACTTGACATCGCTAGGTAAAGCCCAGACAGCTGCTGTTAAAAGAGACGCCGATGTTGGTGTCGCCGAAGCAAATCGAGATGCCGGTATCAGGGTAAGTTTCCGCCTATAAAAAGTAAACTTCAATTTTCGGATCTTTATGCTAAGCTAATTATAGTTATTAATTGATTATATTATATATATATATATATATATATATATATATATATATACAATTATATATACAATAATAATAAAATATTAAAATATATAATATAATAATTTAAAGTATATAAATAATTATAAAATCTTTATTTATAAATTATATATTTAATAATTTATTATTAAATATAAGAAATAATTATATATATTAACTGTTTTTAATTGTCCATAACAGGAAGCAGAATGCGAGAAATCGGCAATGGACATAAAATATAATACTGATACGAAGATAGAGGACAACGCGAGACTCTATCAATTGCAGAAAGCTAACTTTGATCAGGAAGTGAACACAGCTGTAAGTCAAATTTTTGTTACAAAAAAATGCGCATTATTTTCAATAAAATTTTAATTGTAATTGTTGTGATTACATATTATTTATTCTTTTCCGATTATCTTCAGAAAGCCGAGGCTCAGTTGGCTTATGAACTTCAAGCAGCGAAGATAAAACAGCGGATACGAAATGAAGAAATACAGATCGAAGTTGTGGAAAGGCGCAAGCAAATCGAGGTCGAGGAGCAAGAAGTTCGTCGAAAAGAACACGAACTTCAGAGCACAGTTCGGTTACCAGCCGAGGCTGAGTATTATAAAATGGGAAGAATAGCCGAGGGAAAAAGGTAGGGATGTCTCAATAAAAAAATTTCTCTGAAAAAATTCAATTAACTGTCTAACAAAAAACAAATCTTTTTCTTCAAGGTTTATACGTAATTTAAAAAATTATCTTCACCATCTCTTCATTATTTTAATAAACTCTTATCGAATACCCTAATATATTTTATATATAATATTTATTAATATTATATATATATACATATAATATATATTTTATATAAAACAGAACTTTTCCTAAAATTGTCAAAAAATCTCTAAATTATTCTATGTGACAGAACTCAGACTGTGAACGTAGCGAAAGCCGAGGCTGAGAAGATTCGACTGCTCGGAGAGGCTGATGCTTATGCTCTCGAAGCTGTCGGTGTCTCGGAAGCTGAACGTATGCGAATGAAAGCGGCGGTTTATAAGAAGTACGGTGAAGCCGCTATACTCAATATCACTCTGAATGCCTTGCCAAAAGTGAGTGTGTTACGTCTTTATACTCTTCGCACATTGTAATATGCATCATTGCGAACAATAAAATATTCTTCTTCGTTGCAGATCGCGGCCGAAGTCGCGGCGCCGCTAGCGCGAACGGAAGAAATCGTGCTTCTCGGCGGAAGCGACGCGACCGGCGGAGAATTTACACGTCTTGTAGGACAAGTGCCACCAGCTGTACACGCATTGACTGGGGTAGATCTTTCCAAAGTAAATTAACATGAAATTTTTTATTCTTCTTTTCTTCGCTTTTTCACTTCTTTTCTTCGCTTTTTTACTTCTTTTCTCATTTTTCATTTCTTCTTTCTTCATGTTTCGGAAATAAATTTGCTTTGAGTAAAAAAGTATGTGTCATGCCAAACGTGCATCTTTGCGTCTTAAATAATAATCGTACATGATTAATAATACTGTCACTACTAACGAATACTGATAGTATCACTAATCGTGTGTGGATTAGGGTGATGGAAGAAGAAATAAGATTCGATTTTTTTAAGTGAACCATACAATCATGAACTGGAATAAAAAGAATTTTTTATTCTTCTTTCTTTCTTCGCTTTCTCATTTCTTCTTTTCTTTATTTTTTCATTTCTTTTTTCTTTTCTTCATTTTTCGGAAATAAATTCGTCTTAAGTAAAAAAAAAAAAAAAAAAAAAAACGTGTAAATATGTATCTTCGCGTTTTAAATAATCGTACACGATTAATAATACTGTTATTACTGAAAAATATGGATAGTGTTACTGATCGTGTGAGAATTAGGATGATGGAAGAAGAAATAATAAAGATTCGAATTTTTTTAAATAAACCATACAATCATATGGACTGGAATGAAAAGAAGTATTGAAGAACATTCTAATTGTTTTAAAGTAAATCTATGCACAATCAATAATACTGTCAGTATTTTTTAGCACTAACAGTATTATTGATCATGTATGAACTGAAATGATGGACTGAAAAAAAGTGGAAAGAAGAATGAAGATTTTTTTTATCGACAGGAATGAATTATCACATCATTTTATTGAAACATACGAATCCTTATCCAAATTGTAGGATGCATCAAATTCCACATATGTATATAAACAAAGTAAGAAAAAAGTTAAAAAAAATACAGTATTTGATAAACTTGTAATTATTTACATTATAGAGAAAGAAATCTTTAAATCTTAAAAAATTTTTTCTAGCTGCAAGATATCGCAAGTCTAAAAAATATTGACAGTGAAACTAATTGTGTACGATCAAATAAAATTGATACATAATTTATTATTTCTATTGATTCAATGATATGAATAATGATCGATATTACTGACCTATTCAGTTCACTTTTTACATAAGCACGTGAATATTATAGACTCATTCAATATAATTAAATATTATTCTATGTTCAGGTTTTAGGAAAAATACCAGGCGCAAAGTAATGCGGAACATGATGTGAGTTCAAGGACGGCGATCGGGCGAACGACCTTGGGTTTAATTTTGAGAAGAAGTGCAAAATCTATACTGCCAAGGTTTCTCCGCTCTGCTGTATTTGTCGACGATACTCTACCCTTTTTCCTCTCCCTCTCTCTCTCTCTCTTTCTATATATACATCCTACAAATTTTACTCTACCTCAAATTTAACCAGAACAAAAAACGGCAAATGCCTGCACGCCAGCGGACACGCTTTGTCACCCCTTTACCGCGCAAATCAATCAATTTTCCTTGTTTTTTATTTCATACACAATGCATATACAGCGTGCGATAATATTCCTTTATACTTCTTTATGAATTTTCAAGAATCATTGTAATCAACTTGCTTGAAAAAAGGAGCGATTACGCGATTTATTCGATTTTTTCGAGCCAAAAGTACACACTCACAGAACGCGACAATCCTCCAAGAATTTCAACATATACCTTGTTCTATTTATAAATATTTGTGATTTCTTTTTCTTTCAATTCGCGAAAAAGCACTGCCTATGGCTGTGCCTAAAGACAAAAAAAACTGATCATGAATGCATCGCAATGATAATCATCAGTTGTTTGCTATTGAAATACATAAACATTACGACGACATTAAATTGATGTAAGAGATATTAATTTAACATCTTTTTTCTTTTATTTAATCAAAAAAGAATAAAACATCGCAATAAACAGAGTGTTTCTATAAATGCACAACGTATTCCAGAATTAAAATGTTTCAATTTAAAATGAATTTGAATCTAAAAATAATTTAAAGGATTCCTTTAGAAAAAAAATCTTGTTCAAGAGATACTGACATCTATTTTAACAATATATTAATTAAATATATAAAAAATTATCAAATTATAATAAATTAATTAGTGTGTTTTACTATCTTATTTATTATTTAAAAAATATAAAAATTCTAAAATAAAATAATAAAAAAGCATTAATATTTTATTACAAAAATTATATACGAATATTTTATTGATATATTCACTATTAAAGTAAATGTAAAGCATAATTTTTTATGTTTCACGTAAATTCACAAAAGCATTTAAATAAATATTTTATATAGTTTTTGTAATAGTTATATTATTTTATCTACAAATGTGGGAACTTAATTTCATATTAATAGCCGCAAAATAATTATTATTTATTCTTACAATTTTAGATGTTAATATTTCTTAAACAAGGCATTTGCACAGTCATTTTTACAAGAATTTTCTTATTTATATTTTATATTTTAAGTGAAAACATCTAATTCTGAAACATTCTGTTCAATTTTTACAAAATTGCTAATATTCGTACTAAGAAATTATTCGCTTCTGCAGTAAGCAACATTTATTAGAAGAATAATAAAAAGAAGAGAGTTAAAAAAATTTTTAAAAAGTTACATAATTATATTAATTATTAATATATTATATAATCTCTCTTCAAATAATTTCAAATGATTTTAAAATGTATAAAATTGATAACGAATATATCAAATGGGAAATAAGCCTATTAAAATCACTGCCAAAATAAAAATCCTTTTTGCTCTTTTTAAATTCTTCAAAATAATTTTTAACAAATTGTTAACAAATTTTTTCTTGTTTTTTTATTTATTTTACGAGAAATTATATGAAAATTATTTATTTTACGCAAACGTGTATTGTGATTCGTAGTATATAATTGAAAAGATGATGGCAAAATAAATCGATAAAATATAATCGATAAAAAAATTACTAAAAAACACTATTCGAGTTTAAAAATTCGGATATTATTAATTTCTCAATTTTCGAAGTTATTTTTCTCGCGAGCTAAGCGTCGTACAAAAAATATTAATTGTATGTTTCGTATTATTATTACAAAGAATCGCTTTTTTTCGTACAATAGTTTTACTGTATTACGCAATATACTATATTTCGTGCTTAAATTACAAAGAAAAATTTTTCTTAATTTTATAAAACTAGCATTTGTATGTGTATACAATATCTCAATTAGTTTGAGATTTATTCCGCTTTAATTTACCAGAATATATATAATAATAAACAGCTACTAATTAATATACAGAAATTTAAAGTTTAACTATAAACGATATAAATAAGAATTTCGATATATCATTGTGTTCAATGTAATAAAGTGATTTTAACAAAATGATGAGAAAGGGAAGGACATTCAACGCGGTTCAGGACGTGCGCTTAGCTACCGTCCGTAGTCGTTATATACATATATATACATATATAAATATTTTAGACGTGTAATAGTTTATAAGTTTGAAACAGAAAGGAAAAAGATTGCGCCACGCGAGCGTATTTAGCGCAATTTAAAGAAAAATACTTATTCATATTATATTGAGATCGATTTATACATAAATGTTCTCGGTTGACCACGCATCGGAATCCTTATTAAGGCTCCCGGCTCCTCGCCGATCATGTTGGAATTGTGACGTCACAATCTGACATAGCAGCGGCGAGGAGCCTTAAAGTGAAAAAAAAAAAAAACGATATTCCAAACTGAACAAGTGCCAATTTGTACATACAATATCGACTTATCACTGGTAAAGGAAACTAAGTGATCTGCACAAAAGTTCGATATTATTTGTACAATAATTCTATTAATTATATTTTGTGTGCAAGTTATAAGTTTTTAATATATGTATACATATATATACGCATTACCTCATTATCTTCATTTATTTTTCTATATATGCAATATAATTACTTTGAATATATTCTTGTCATATATATGTAGATTGTTTTCTTGTTAGTTTATGATTATATTTTTTTATTTGTAGTATTCGTATAAAATATACGAGAGTAGTGAAATATAAAGTAACATATTCACTTTATTAGTTAACATATGCATTCGCATTTAATATTATTATAATATGGATCATTTAAGGAGTTTGTTCAGTAAAATAAAAATATTACGTTATAATTGGAATACATTCCTTGCAAAAAATTTTACATATGTTTTTATATGTAATACATGTAAAAGTAATACAAATAGTAATTAATATAATTTTGTAAATAATATGATATTATTTATATTACATCTCTAAATAACAAACTTTATATGTCAAAAAATATTTTGCAGGAATTTGAATAAATATTCATACAATATTGTTTTTATGTAATAATCATAATTGATAATAAATAAAAAAATATTTTTTTGAGAAGCGTTGGAATAATGTAGCAACGTTTCTTTGTTTTATGATATAGGATTCTCTGTCTTTATCTGTTTTTCATGCCCTGCAGAAAAGAAATGAACAAACTTCTTAATAAATAATAGCATTTGATTTGAAGAATGTATAATGAATGCATATTCGTCTATGAATCCTTGCGAATATTAAGAAGGAAAGTCGAAAGATATAAAAACCGCTAGCTAGATAAGCAAGTCTTCCCAAAATGCTGAGCACAGTAAAGCAGTACAAAAGAAAAATTAAAACCTGCTTTTTAAAAAAGAATAATATAAATACAGTAAGAAATTAGGATATCTAGCAGTGGAATCAATTTAGTGTATTATCTACTGGATATTTTATGTCAAAAATATTGCCATTTTATGTAAAAAATATTGCCATTTTTTATCATATATACATATATATAAATTAAGTTATCATACTTTTAATATCAAGATCCCATTTTTAATACTCCAACAAAATTATAATTGAAAATGAAAAAAGTATTGGTAGATGTATTAAATATTTACTTTTTTCAAAGGTTTTTAAGTATGTATTTTTCTCTTTTTTCCGATGAGTAGTCAATACGAGAAAGACACCATGTGCGCGCGCGCAGAGAGAGAGAGAAAGAGAAGTACAGGTAAACATAAAAAGAATTAGAATAATTACCGAGTTTTTGACAAATCCGATCTAATCGGCTTATATTTATAACATATTGTAATTATCGAAATAATCAAGATGTGCAAATGTGGATGCTTGATTTTATTAAAAAATGAAAATAAACTTTTCCATACTGTAAAAAAATATGTGAAATTATATAAATAATAAGTGTAAAATTACACGATAATTAATGAAAATGTATACATTTATTATTTATGTAATTTCACATTTTTATGTAATATATTACAAATTTTTTTACAGTGCAAATAGCAAACTGATGTCATTAAACGTCAAAATAAAGTTATTTTGACGCTTGCTACCTGAGTTTCAATTTACAAAATATATAAAAATGCTTTCAATATACCCATTTAAAATAAGAAATAGAAATTGGCATTTTTTAATTGTTTTTTAAATAAAAATAATTTATTAAATATTTATATTTTTATATATTTATTTATCTTTAAATGGTTTTTTAAAAATAAATTTAAATATATTGATTAATTTTTAGTTTACAAAAAATGCATTTGAAATAAAAAATTGTAATAAAAATCATTTTCTAAATGAAAATGTAAAATAGTTTTTTAAAAAAATGTATTTTTTTAATGCAAAGTATAAAATAAGCATTTTACGTTTTCCTCTTAAATGCATCTATTACAAATAATGCGCATCTCTGAAAATAATTGTCAGAATCAGAGATTCTTTTAATCTGCAAAGATCGATGTACCATTTTCTGTCAAAAACTCTGACGTAGCATAAAATCTCGTTTAAAATTTTATATAATTCTTAACTAACATATGCTTTAACTTGTTCTGCATATGCTTCATTAATGATGAAGCATATACTTGTGCTGTATACTGTAATGCTTCTTTCTCTCTCTTTTTTCTCTTTCTCTCTCTTTCTCCCTTTCTCCCTTTCTCTCGCTAGCTCGTTTGCCTTCTAATGAAAGGAAAATAATGATTAAATAACAACCCATCGCAGAACGTTCCGTATAATTAATTATGTCCTTATAGTATATAAAATAAGAAGATCGCGATTGTTCCAGTCTAGTTAAGTAAATTGCGTTTACGTGATATAGGCGATATATCTAAAAATTTTTATATAAGTTTCTGTGTCGGACCATCTCTCTTTAGCTGTTTATTTGCTAATAATGTATAAAAGATATCCCAA